TGGCCCCATACGGGGCCCCACCGAAGGTCCCAGCGCGACCGTCCGCATGCGCCCCGCACACCCAGTAAAGCGTTTCGTGGCCCTCCTTCCCCTCCTCCCTGCGTTTCTCCAACCAAAACAATGCTTCGTGGCCGCATAGGGAGCCCCAACGAAGGTCCCAGTGCTACCGTCCGCATGCGTCCCGCACGCCCAGTACAGCGCTTCGTGGCCCCATACGGGGCCCTACCGAATGTCCCAGCGCTACCGTCCGCATGCGCCTCGCACACCCAGTACAGCGTTTCGTGGCCCTCCTCCCCCTCCTCCCTGCGTTTCACCCGCCAAGTACAACGTTTCGTGGCCCCATAGGGAGCCCCACCGAAGGTCCCAATGCTTCCGTCCGCATGCGTCCCTCACGCCCAACACAGCGCTTCGTGACCCCATACGGGGCCCCACCGAAGGTCCCAGCGCGACCGTCCGCATGCGCCCCGCACACCCAGTAAAGCGTTTCGTGGCCCTCCTCCCCTCCCCACCCAATACACCGTTTCGTGGCCCCATAAGGGGCCCCACCGAAGGTCCCAGTGCTACCGTCCGCATGCGTCCCGCACACCCAGTACAGCGTTTCGTGGCCCCATAGGGAGCCCCACTGAATGTCCCAGCGCTACCGTCCGCATGCGTCCCGCACACCCTGTACAACGTTCCGTGGCCCTATAGGGAGCTCCACCGAAGGCCCCAGTGCTACCGTCCGCATGCGCCCCGGAAGCCCAATTTGGCATTTTCACCCACCCAGTGCAGCGTTTCGTGGCTCCATAGGGGGCTCCATCCAAGGCCACAATGCCACCGTCCGCATGCGTCCGTGAAATGTAATTTGGGATTTTCACTCGCGCAGTGCAGCGTTTCGTGTCCCCATAAGGGGCTCCACCGAAGCCCCCAGTGGGACCGTCCGCAAGCGTCCCGGAAACCCAATTTGGCATTTTCACTCACTCAATAGAGCGCTCCGTGGCCCCATAGGGAGCTCCATCGAAGCCCTCAGTGGGACCGTCCGCATGCGTCCCGGAAACCCACTACGGCACACCACCCACACGGTACAGCGTTCCCCCCCGCCCACTGCAGCGCTGCGTGGCCCCACAGGGAGCTCCACCGAAGCAGACATTCGCAAGTACGGTACCCCCAGCTGCACGTGGTTGGGACCTTCGCCAGGATAATGTTTGTCTCGTGCCCGCCGCTCCGCGCCAGCGGGCGCGTGTGGGCTCGGCCCCGCCCGCTCTCGGACGACGGCGTCCAGCTCCCCGACCTGCTGTGGGCAGCACTTGAAGGGGCCCTGGGACACACAAATACATACACATAAGTAACAGGATCCTCCATATTTTCGTATATTTTCTGGGTGTTGGTCGTCCCCCCCACTTCCAATATTTTCCCATATTTGCCTGAGAGTCGACGATTACTTGTGTCGGTGTGTTTTTCCCCTCCTAGGCATTCCGCGTCGCGCCCGGATGGGGAGGAAGAGGTGAAGGAGGACGAGGAGGGGGAGGAGAGGTGAGGTGGAAAAGGGGGGGGGAGGAAGCTGAGGGGGCGGGCCTGCTCAGACGGCTCAGGATGCCTCCCGCCTTCGGAGAAAGCTGCCTTAGAGTCAACCCGTATAGTAAGGATGCACGGTGAGGGTGCAGAGGCCCTGGAGAGCAACTTCGACGTCTGTCGAAGGAGGCTGGCCAGCGAAAGCCGCTGAGGATGGGACGAGGGGGCAAGGATGCAAGGGTACCCTTGGGCAGGCTGCTCATCCTTACTATGCAGGGGTACCCCTGGCAAGGATGCAAGGGTACCCCTGGGAAGCCTTCCCCCGAAGCCACAGGGGGGCCTCTCCGAAGGCGGGAGAACGCCCGCCGCCTTCCGAAGAGGCCTGCCCCGCCTCGCCTCCGCCCTCCGCCGGGGGGCCTCGGCCCCGCGGAGATGCCCAGGGCGAATCTCGTTCCAACGTGGGCATCCCAAATATTGACAGCAGAAGTAGGAGGCCATGTGCGAACCCCACTCTGGGTTTCTCGATAAGCGTGGGAGTACTCCCCCGACAAGGGTCAGCCTCGCCCCATCGTAGCGCCGCGACGGGGGTCGGAGCGCCTTCGGCGCGCGGTGGCTGCCCGCGACGGCGGTCGATGTGGGGCTGTCGGCGGGGGTGACGCACCCCCCCCGACGCTTTTTAAGAAACACGGAGTGCACCACCACACCACGATTTCAAAGGGGAGAGCTGGGGGGGTTCACTTCGTTCGGGACCTCCTGAGCGAAGTGACCCCCCCACCTCCCAACCTAGGAATCGTGGGGTGGTCGGGTAGGGTTCGCATGTGGCCTCCCAAGAGGGGTGCCCCTGCAGGGCTAGGCTTGTTCTAAGCCCTCGTGCCAGCTTTGTGGCAGGATCAGTCAACACCGACTCGGGAGATCGGAGCGGATCAGAGCCGCGCGCCGGAGCGGGCCGCATTGGCACGCAGCCGAAGTGGAATCGGGTCGGCCACGCCAGGATGCAGGATGCACAGCGGCGCCGTGCAGACACTCGAGCCGCATCAGGCCCACTGCAAATCGGATTCCGATCGGATCGGGCCGGTCGGAAGCGATAGTGAACTCATCGCATCGGATCGAGAATTGCCTCTCGAGTCGGGGGTCGACTACCGAATTGATTGCTCTACCCCAAGATTCAAGATGGTCATCAAATCAGCGGAAAAAAAACAGCACTCTGACGGTAGGACCCTGCATGAGAATCCGCTTGGTAAATCTGGAAATCCGCCCACCCCAATTTGAAGGATCCTTCCTAGAAAGACACCGTGTACCCTCCCCCCCCAAAAATTCCCTCCGACGCGTGCACCTTGCCTTCATTTCTGGCCCAGAACCGATCCCGATCCCCTCGTGGTCACCACCGTGCCCCGGCATCAACACCGTACCACCATGTCCTGGGAGCTCTTTTCTTGGGCCCCACCCGACCAATTCTCGCCTGGAACCTACCCCGTGGTCACCACATCGCCCAGCATCCTCACCGCCCCGCACGGTTCCAGGCCCGGAACCGACCCCGACCCCCCCTGGGAAACCACCTCGCCCTGGCATCCCCGCCGCCCCGCACTGTCCCATGCATGGGAGCTATGTTCGAGGGACCCCCCTCCCGACAATTGCTGGCCAGGAACCCACCCTGACCCCCAATGGTCACCACCCCACCCCGGCAAATTCTAACCCGGAACCGACCCTGGTCCCCCCCGTGGCCACCACCTCGCCCTGGCATCCCCACCGCCTCGCACGTCCAGGAAACCCTGTTCTTGGACACAACCTCCTGGCAATTGCTGGCCTGGAACCGGCCCTGACCCCCCCGTGGTCACCACCCCGCTCCGGCATCCCCACCGCCCTCTGTTCGGGTGCACCCGACAGTGTTGGCCTGGAACCGACCCTGACCCCCGTGGCCACCTCGCCCCAGCATCCCCGCCGCCACGCACGGTCCTGGAAGATCTGTTCTCGGGACCCCCCCCCAACAGGACGCTTTCTGGCCTCGAGGCCAGAAATTGTCCGGGGAACAAGAACTTGTCGGGTGAGGGGTCCGAGTTCGGACACCTCACCCGGCAATTTCTGGCCTGAAGCCTCGGCGGTGGACAAACCTCCCTTTCGTAAACCTCCCCTTAGTGAAAACGGCCTGGGAGCGAAACCGACGGACCTGGACCCGCAAAAATGACGGCCGCGACGGCCCCTCGCGAACCGAAAACGGCCAATTCCTTAATCGACGTGTCAGGGTAGGAGGTCTGCTCACCCCCGAAAGCCACCCTGACCCCGGCCTGGACCTCCCCCCGACCCCCCCCCCTCGTCACAGCCTCGCCCTGGCGGCCCCACGGCCCCGCACAGTCCTGGGAGAGTTTTGGGGGCCCCCGCCCGACAGATTCTGGCCCAGCACCCCCCCGGTGGTCACCGCCTCGCCCTGAACCCACCCTGACCCCCCGTGATCACCACGCCGCCCCGACATCCCTAACCGACCCCGCGCGGTGAGGAGGAGGAGGAGGAGGAGGAGGAGAAGGAGGAGGGAGAGGAGGAGGAGGCAGGGGAGGAGCAGGAGCAGGAGGAAGAGGAGGGACGAGTTTTATTCACCGCCGGAGAAACAAGGGGGGATCAAAAGGAAAGGCACTTCGAGGTTAAGGCCCACGCCTTCTAAGAAGCAGGTGTGTTCCTAAGAAGCCATGCCCCCTCCCCCCTCCCCCTCTGGCGCGTGGCTGAGGAGACGGGGACCACCAGAGGCACAATAGTTCGTATAAGCATTCGAATTCCGCCGCTCCGCTTGGATTTATTGGATCTGCGCTTGGCCCCCCTGGGCGCCTCCGGCACCGCCCCTGGCGCGCTTCGCGCGCCATGGAGGGGGGGTCAACGCAGGGTTCACCGCAGATCCGAGAAATTCGCGCGGAGTTCCGAAAACTTATGTTCTGCAAATTTCTGCCTCGGACTACCGATTCTCACCATCACCGTGGTGGTTGCTACTTCTGCCTTCGCGCACCGCGCCCCGCGACGCCCCACGCCAGATGATGCCAGCCTTCTGGTCCAGGCCGCGACGCGTGACGCGCGGTCATCTCGTGCCCCTGCAAGCGCTGGCTCGAGTCGTGATGACGCCGGCGCTGGTGTGTGACACCACACCGATGGTTCAACCTTGGACTGTCGGCCGATTCTGGCCCAGTGGCTGCGTTCCACCTGGAGCGCCCGCGGTGGGGTCGCCGCTGTCTCAACGCGGCGCGATTCAGAAGCAATTACTTCGGAGGCCGCCCGCAAGGGGTCGAAGTAGATAGGGTCAGTGGGTCTTGAACAACATGTGCCACCGTTTGTCATGAAACAAACGCTCCTGGAGGGACACGGGCCCTGGGACCCTGGGGCCTTGACCCAAGCAGTCGTCGTTCGTCCCGGGCCGTGTTCAGACAGTCCTGGGGCCCGTGGAAACCCCCAGGGAAGCCAGACACGGCGAAACACCTCAGGACCCATGGCCCTCTGGACCCGTCCGCACCTTCGCCACCCATGTGGGCGGCCTGGAGAACCAGCCGTGTTTTCGCGCCTGGCAGGCGAGCCGTCGGGTGGGCCGCTGAACTGCCCTGGCGACCGACTCGCGGCAGAAGGCTGCCACGCCCGACTGCTGCATGAGCGCGACCACTGGCTGCTCGGTCTCGCCCCTCGCGCCACTCGGGCGGGGGGGCTCCGCGATCGCCCTCTCGTACGCGTCGATCGTGTCCTTTCGGGTGTTGCCATAGGTGCCCCTGGCCCCAATCGGGGACGCACTGACCTGGGTCAACGCAAACGTGGGTCAACCAGGGCTACGTCGCGAACCCGGGCCGGCCACGAAATAGCCACCACACCGGGGTAAGCGGAAGGCGGGCGATCGGGGCCGCCCCACGTGGGTCCCAAAACTCGGTGGCGCTCACCCCCACTACGCGAGCCCCGGCCCAAGTGTCTTCATCAAGACATCCTCGGATGTTCCCAGCATTTACGTGTAACAGATCCGATTTCAAAGAAGTATCAGTTACAAACCGGACAACACGGGAACGCGCTGGCAACAAATCCGCCAAACCCTGTCGGCGTGTGTGGGGTGTCTGTCGGGTCCCGTCGACGGGGAGCCTCCTTTCGTCTCTTCCTTCCAATCCCCCTCACCCGTCGGGGGAGAGAGAAAAAGCACCCTTCTTCATTTGGGGAACCGGTTCGCATCGTGAGGGAATTCCATCCACGTCCTCATTGCGTCAAAGGGAAGCCCCCTCCCTTTGTCACTTCCCCGGCGGGGCCCCCGGTCAGATTCGCATCGCCTCTGGGGGTCCTCCTCTCCCACGCCGGTCCTTCCTCCAGCGCGCTGGTCCTCCTCGGGTCCTCTCCCCAAGTTGGGAGGAGTCCCGGAGGGGGAGAGGGGAGTCAGATACGCATCCGTGCCTGGGGGTCCCCCTCCCCCTCCCCTTCCCCACCCCTCTCCCACGCCGGTCCTCCTCTCTGGTCCTCTGTCTGGTATCCTCCGCTGGTCCTCTTAAACCCTCCTCCTCCTCCTCCTCCTCCTCCTCCTCCTCCTCCTCCTCCTTCTCCTCCTCCTCCTCCTCCCCCTCCTCCTTCTCCTTCCCCTCCTGGTCGTCGTCGATGTTTTTCCAGGGTCGGCGGCACCGGCCGTCAGGCCCTCACAGTATCCGAGTGTTCCCGCCGCTTCCTGGCAAGAAGCTGGCGCATCGAAGCCTCCTCCCCCGAGCCTCGGGCCCGTCCGTACGCCGAGGCGATGGAGAACCGCCTGCCGCATAACTTCGGTATGTTTTTCTTTCGCGAGAGGTCACGCACGAGTTTTAGTTCTCCACAGAGCAAGAGCATCTCGCAACAAATCGTAATGATTCCTCCGCCCAAAAAGAGCCCCCATATCCCTCGCAGGGACCGAGCGCACCAGTTGTTCGTGCTGTTTCTTGCCGCGGCGACAAAGAGAGCCCCCGAAGGCAAAAACACCTCGAACCTCGATGCTGGTGGCTAGAATTTCGAACCGCTCCAGCAAGCGGAGCCAGGGACAGAAGACGCTGGTAAGAAGAGGCCGAACGGATCGAAGAGGAAGGCGGCATGATAGAGTCTTTTGGGTTGGAGCTGATTCCGCTCAGACGGCAATTAGCGCACGCAAGAGCAGCCAAGCGCGGCAGCCCCCGGGCGCGAGTGCAACATCCAAGGGTGCTGTCCCACTAAGCCTGCACCGCGCGCAACGACCGCAGAGCGAGCCGGACGACTTCCAGAAGGCAATGCGGTTTATGCCGAGCATTGGGGGCGATCCTCGCATGAAAGACGTACGCACCGACGCACGCAACACATGTCTTCGGACTTCGACCGCGAAAAGGTGAATGAGGCTCAACGCGCGGGCAACGCGTTGTACGGTGCACTGGCTACATCAGGCCGTAGTGATACCTACTGGTTCTTACCTTACACCAGAAACTCGTAGATCTACAGTCCAGACCACGAGGCCTCCAGATAAGGCGACGACCGCCCATGCAAAGGGAAAAAACAAGGACGTAAACAGAAGAACTCGGAGGTCCGCGCGGACTCCTCGGATTGGGGCTGGGGACCCCTGGCGGCGCCTCAGGCGCCGCCCATGGCGCGCTCTGCGCGCCAGGGAGAGGGGTTCCAACGCCGATACAAGAAATCCGCACAGACTTCGGAGTTGGTGTGTTTATGTCCTTGCTTGTTCCCCGAGAATCCGCCGACCCTGTCGGCGTGTGTGAGGGGCTTTTCCGTTCGAGCCGTCATCTCCGTCATTCTTTGTACTCGTCGTCTCTGTCCTTCCCTTTCCCTGGGAGACCTCTTCCCCTGGGCTCCAGCCAAGCCGACCTTGAGCAACCTCGTAATTGAGTCGAAGGGAAGCCCCTTCCCTTTGATCCCTCCCCCGCCGGGAGGGGGGGGGGGGTCGACCCCCCCCCCGGGTCAGATACGACGCCCCCCCCTGGGACTCCTCTTCCCCTGGGCTCCAGCCAAGCCGACCTTGAGCAACCTCGTAATTGAGTCGAAGGGAAGCCCCTTCCCTTTGATCCCTCCCCCGCCGGGAGGGGGGGGGGGGGTGTCGACCCCCCCCCCGGGTCAGATACGGGGGGCTCCAGCCAAGCCCTATACGACCCCCTCCCCCCTCTGGGATACGACGCCCCCCCTGGGACTCCTCTTCCCCTGGGCTCCAGCCAAGCCGACCTTGAGCAACCTCGTAATTGAGTCGAAGGGAAGCCCCTTCCCTTTGATCCCTCCCCCGCCGGGAGGGGGGGGGGGGTGTCGACCCCCCCCCCGGGTCAGATACGACGCCCCCCCCTGGGACTCCTCTTCCCCTGGGCTCCAGCCAAGCCGACCTTGAGCAACCTCGTAATTGAGTCGAAGGGAAGCCCCTTCCCTTTGATCCCTCCCCCGCCGGGAGGGGGGGGGGGGTGTCGACCCCCCCCCCGGGTCAGATACGACGCCCCCCCCTGGGACTCCTCTTCCCCTGGGCTCCAGCCAAGCCGACCTTGAGCAACCTCGTAATTGAGTCGAAGGGAAGCCCCTTCCCTTTGATCCCTCCCCCGCCGGGAGGGGGGGGGGGGTCGACCCCCCCCCCGGGTCAGATACGACGCCCCCCCCTGGGACTCCTCTTCCCCTGGGCTCCAGCCAAGCCGACCTTGAGCAACCTCGTAATTGAGTCGAAGGGAAGCCCCTTCCCTTTGATCCCTCCCCCGCCGGGAGGGGGGGGGGGGTCGACCCCCCCCCCGGGTCAGATACGACGCCCCCCCCTGGGACTCCTCTTCCCCTGGGCTCCAGCCAAGCCGACCTTGAGCAACCTCGAAATTGAGTCGAAGGGAAGCCCCTTCCCTTTGATCCCTCCCCCGCCGGGGGGGGGGGGGGTCGACCCCCCCCCGGGTCAGATACGACGCCCCCCCCTGGGACTCCTCTTCCCCTGGGCTCCAGCCAAGCCGACCTTGAGCAACCTCGTAATTGAGTCGAAGGGAAGCCCCTTCCCTTTGATCCCTCCCCCGCCGGGAGGGGGGGGGGTCGACCCCCCCCCCCGGGTCAGATACGACGCCCCCCCCTGGGACTCCTCTTCCCCTGGGCTCCAGCCAAGCCGACCTTGAGCAACCTCGTAATTGAGTCGAAGGGAAGCCCCTTCCCTTTGATCCCTCCCCCGCCGGGAGGGGGGGGGGGGTGTCGACCCCCCCCCCGGGTCAGATACGACGCCCCCCCCTGGGACTCCTCTTCCCCTGGGCTCCAGCCAAGCCGACCTTGAGCAACCTCGTAATCTCTTGCTGCGCATTGCGAACAGGGTCGGCGGCACCGGCCGTCAGGCCTTCGCAATAATGTCCCGCAACCCCTGGCCAGCCCAATCCTGGATCCACGAGAGGCATATGCATACCCCACTGGCTTGTCCACGGAACCATGTGACCCAATCCCGGGCGCAAGATGGGCTTGGTCAGAGGCCAGGGGCACTGGCTGTGTGATTACAGATCTCGTCGGCCGATCCGGATCACTGCCCACCTCCTCCTCCCTCCTGCCCTCCCTCTCCTTCCCCACCCTTCCCTCCGCCACCACGTCGCTTTTCCTCCGCAGGCCGCGCCGCATGCGCAAGCCAGTCACGTCGCTGGTGAGAGCAGCAAGACAAGGCACACAACCTCCTCCTTCTCCTCTGCCTCCTCCTCCTCCTGCTTCTCCTCCTCCGGCTCCTCCTCTGGTTCCTCCTTCGTCCTCCCCCTCTCGGGGTACGACGGCTTCCCAGCCTTTATTCCATTGGTTGCTCCCCCACGTGCCTGGTCAGGCTCACTTGCCTGGACATCGCTTCTGGATGAGACCCCTTAGGAGAAAGTGGAACAGAAAACACGGAAAGCTTTGGACACGCTGTGCCAAGAACACCTTTCGCAACCCCTGGTCCTTGACTTTCTTCATCATGGCGTGCTTGATCCGCCCACCCCTGGGGGGGTCCCTGGGCGCGTGGGGTAGCGCCAGAGAAAAAGGACATTAATCAAACGGGTCCTGAGGGAAACGCGTCCTGGACCACGGCGCCGCCCCCCTGGTTTGGACGCCCGATATGGGTACCGAAAAAAATGGGTACAATGCCCAACAGCAAATGTTGTCCCAAACCAACAGCGGCCGCTGTTGGGCTGGCGGCCCTCTGTCTCAAATGAACACAGGCCGCGGCGGCGTGGACAGCGAATCCTGTTCAAAATGAACAGGGACTGCTGTTGGGCATTGTACCCATTCTTTCCCTACCCATTTCGGGCGTCCAAACCAGGGACCAGCTCTTTCTGAAAAGTACTCTTTGTCAACATTTGGAGAAGACCCCGTGCGACGGGACCAGGTGACCCCCAAGAAACGCTTTCGCGGGGACAACCTTCGGCCCCCTGCCAAGAACACTGCAGCAGCGCGGTGCTCCGGCTTTTGACCTCTGACGCATAATGCAGCGAAGCCTGGATACAGAGAGCACCGGATGAGGACACATCGGCAATCTCTGAGCGCCTGAAGATCTGGGGGGCGTATCGGACGCCGCAGCAATGTCAGAGCGCTCCAGAACGCTGTGCTCTGAAGCGAACTATTCTCATCGTGGGCATGCCCGACATCGTCCAGATCCTAGGAATGCCTTGGGGAACTTGGAAGTGTTGCCCGGTACGCGCCAGCGAGCGCCCCAAGTGCAACTGCTAGACTGGACGCAGGAGTTGGCTGAAGGCGGGTGGGGGAAACACACATCCGGGTGGAAGCGTCAGGAACACTCAGCATCGAATCGGGAAATGGGGTCGAATCGGAGCGTGCGTCGGACGTGACGCGACTGCATCAGCACGGGGTCGAAATCGAATCGGGTCGACTGCTCTACGGCGCACAACAGCGCCGTGTAAGCGTCGGACCGCACCGAATCGCCCAAGCGTGGAAACCCAAACGGGCAAAAGGCTGGCGACATTTTGTACGCCCGAACTATCCGGGGTAACTCGGACACGGGGTAACTCGAGCTTAGATTCCCGAAGAGCGAACCCGAATTAGCCCTGACCCGAATTACCCCTGATGATGTGGGGCTCTGGGCGCCCGAATTATCCGGGGTAGCTCGGGCCCGGGGTAACTCGGGTTCGGAATCCCGAAACACGAACCCGAGTCAGCCCTGACCCGAGTTACCCCTGATCTTCAGGGTAGAAGCGTTATCCGAGGTTGCTGCAGGCGGGCATCGCTTCAAGTCCACTGGCACCCGTGGATTTGCTGATGTCTCCTGGATTCGACCTATCGTTAAGTCGGGCGCGTCCCTCTACAGGATGAGTGTTCAAGAATAGTACACCTATAGTCTGAGAACGATTTTCGGATTTTGTAGAAAAATTCATCTTGAATATGATTTGGCTATTTTTGTTGTTCGTCCAAACTCCGTCAACAGGGAGGCACGCCCGACCTAAACCTATCGTGATGTCTTCCGTTTTGTTGGGCGTGGGAGGGGGCGAAGAAGCGTTCACCCTTCGTGCCCACTGTTGGGCCCAGGGGGGCCTTTCTAGGGCCCCTTGAGGTGCACCTCTCTTCGCCCGCCCTCCTGTATCGCCGCTCCCATGTCGCAGTGCCCGATGCTTCCTGTGTGTTTGAGTATCGGCTATCCGATCCCCATCCCCAGCGGCATCGCCTGGGCCCCACTGGCCGATCAACCCCCCTAGATGGGGATACAGGTCGTCCCCTTCGGGTTTTGAGGGGTGTATCCCCAACTGGCGTGGTAATTTGGTGGGGGGTCTCGAAGGCGATGGAGATGGGGATGGGGATCGGATAAACGATACCGATCAGGTGCACCTTTCTTCGCCCGCCCTCTTTTATCGCCGCTCCCATTTCGAAGTGCCCGATGCTTCCTGTGTGCTGTCTCTTCGCGTGAGGTCGTGGCCGAAACGGGTGCCAACTACAAGCTGTGAGCAACCTACCGTGCCGCCTTCTCCGGCATGGGCTGGGGGTGCGCGTGGCAAGATTCAAAAACGGAAGAAACTCAACGCAGAATGCGGAGCCCGCCCAGGCTCCCGTGCCACTCAGCCCCCATCGTGTCCCCGCCCCGCAAGTGCGAGCAGAGAGGGCCCGGGCAAAGAGCATAACAGGTTCCAGAGAGCCGTGCCGTTCGACTGCAAAGAAGAAGACGACGGAGAAAAAGAGCGACAAAGAATTGCTGACAGAAACCGCTCAAATTGGCTTGCTCACAACCAGTCCGGCATTTCAGGGCCCACCTTCAAGGCGAGCGGCGCCGGCGCGACCAAACACACTAACACCGAGGGCGCGTAAAGAGGGCTCCAGGACACGTGACACCTTTGCAAAACCTTGGGACAGCACAGCGTGCAGTGTAACACCGGACAAAAGTCGAGCCCAACAGCGGACAACAGCCGACAATCTGAGGGCAACAGGGCCTGACCCTGGTTAGAACGGTTAGAAGACGGAGGTGAGGATCAGGCCTCAACGATGCTCGTAAGGTAAAGCAAGTGACAAAAGTGCAACGCGCGAGGACACCATGAAAATGAAGTGATAAGGTGTGAACCAAACTGCACGGCTTGAAGCATCCCTCCGGCCATCAAGACAAAATACGATGAACTTGCATCGACGTAGTGCTAGCCAGACATGCCGGAATATGGTCTCAAGTGTATGTGAACATACACAATACACTCAGAGAGTCAGGTGGTATGGTGGACAAATGAACTTATTTCGGCAAAATACCAAGGCATGAGGGGGCCCCCGAACCGCGAGCCCCCCGAGCCAAAGTGGCCAATGGAGAACCCCGCTGGCCGGCGAGATCGTTTAGCCGCTGTCAGTTGTACCTTTTCCTGCAATGCGTGCTGACAGCGTTCCTAGTGAGACCGCAGAGAGGTAGTAGGTAGATCTCATCCCAGCGTCTTGTCTCTCCCGTCCTTAGAACGAGAAAAAACTGAATAAACATAACCTGTTGGTGTTCCGCGCGGATTTCTAGGATCTTAGCTGGACCCCCAGCCCTGGCGCGCGGACCGCGCCAACACTTACGTTTATGGTGTTGTTTTGCTCGAGTCTCATCCCAGCGTCTTGTCTCTCCCGTCCTGTCTCGTCCCTGCTGCGAGCGCAGGGAGAAAGCAAAGCCGCGGCGCCAACCAAAAGCCACGCCGAAGGGAAGAAGGGATTCTCCGCCTTCTGCTTGCATCGCTGAGCTCCTTTGGACCCCCGTGTGGACGCCACGGTGCGACCAAGATCCCAGGTGGGCCCCGAGAGACTTCCAGGTGCAAAAGAGGCGCAGGGTGGTCCCAGGAGGCCCCCCACGTCTGTCCAGGAGGCAATGCGACCTTGCTAAAAGGGCTCCAAGACGCTCCGAGAATGCAGCAGCCATGAAAGAACTTGCAGTGCTTCGATGATGATTGTTTGTCGCGAGCTCTACTGCGAAGGTGTCCCAAGATAGCTTGAGGACGGCCCCAAGAAGCACCAATATAGCTCAATCATCGCTGATGACATATTCAAGATAGCATCCAGAGGACCCACGACACCACCAACATCGCACAATATTCCTCAATCAGGCCCCAGGTCGGCAACACGATGCCCTGAAGAATCCTCAAGACGAGCCCAGAGGCCCCAAGACAGTCCTAACATCGTAGAAGACAACCCGAAAGGTGGCTCCCAGTCGGGGGCATCCAAGAAGGAGACGTCGCAAATCATGGCCCGAGGCATGTGCGCCGTCCAGGGTGGTGCTAAATGAGGTATTGAAATAATGGAGTATGAAGAGATAGCATGGCCCCGGCCATGACATCCACCCCGTCTAATCATCACCCCCCTCTTGGCCGCCCCCGACCCGGAGAGGCTCCAAGATGCTAAATGGACCAACCGATCCCCAAGACCGTGCAGAAAGGCCACAACATAAATTCAAGATGGCGCCGCCCGGGCCGATGGCAGCGGGCGAAGCACATCAGACAAACTCTTGGACCCTTGGATCTGACAATGTTAACGAAACCAAGGGACACACACACACACACATACGCAGACACACACACACACACTCACACACACACACACGCACGAGTACACACATAAGTACACACAAATCCGAAGATTCCAAATCTGTTCCCATATTGTCTGGTTGTTCGTCTTCCCCTGCACCGTCCAAATGTTCCCAAACGCATCGACGATTCCGTGGGTTTGTGTGTTTGTGTGTGCGCGTGTGTGCGTGTGTGTTCCTTACTGAGATGTGGCGTGCATATTGCTGTAATTGCGTGTTGCGTTTCGTTGCAGCCCCCCCCATAGGGGGAGACGGCCACAGTCAGAGCGGACACGAGGAGCTCTGAGGGCGGACACACGACGCCTGGCGGCAAGGACGCCAAGACGGCAGCAGAGGGCAACCCTCCCACAAGAACCGCTGGAGTGACGAGTGAGCAACACGACGGCCCAGGGCTCACTGATCCCTCGCGGCATCATGCGAGAAACAAGAAGCGACTAGCATACGCGTTCGAAAATCGGTGCGGATTTCTTGGATCCGCACTGGGGCCCAAGAACTCTTTCCGCGCGGGCACCCGACTTTGATGCGTCCGTCTCGTTTCCTGATTAATAGAAGAAGTATTCGAAGCATGAGGGGGGATGAGCTTGTCTGGCCGCCTTGACGCGAAGCGCTGTGGATCCTGAGGAACGAGAGGAACTGACGGTGCTCGTGATCGCGCACCCCCTGCCAGTACGACCACATGCGTGCGGGGCCGAAGAGTGTACACCAGCAGTGCCCCCCCTTTTCCCCCCCCCCTCCCTCTCCCACCGCCATCCTTCAATCATCGCGCTACCACAGCAAGGAACATGGAATGAGACACGTACAGCAGGGGCTCGACCACAAGAAACCTTCCACAAGAACCCCAACCCTGAGACCCCAGGACGCCCATTGATTCGGGGGTGCGCAAACATGGATTAGCGATCCACGGATTTGGCGCGCGGTCGCCAAATCCATGGATCGGGGGAGGTGCTCTCCCCGAAGTGCGGCCGGTGCCGCCTCGTTCGGCGGCGGGAATCCGCGACTTCCCATGGAAACGGGACCCGTCGCTAATCCACGCCCACTTAATCCATGTTTGGGATCGCCTGATCCTGGAGCATCGCTTCTCGGGCTTCTCGGGGGGGGGGGAGGGCCGGCGGAGGACGCCGCATCGAGCTCCTACAGCAGGAGTTCGAGGACAAGAGCCCTCCCACGAGAAGCCCAACCCTGAGATCCCAGGACGTGAAGCCCAACCCTGAGATCCCAGGACGTCCATGTATTGTTGCTGTGGGAACGTCAAGCTCTCCACAGCAAAACCACCGAAGCCCAAGAGACCCAGGGCACCCTGGAGGCAAGCAGGGTGCTTCTTGGCATGAGCCTCCACTGCATGGGGCCCTCCTGGCCACGGCCAGCCTCGGCAACGAGTGCGTTCTGCGAGCTGGACTTCGGTCGGGCATGTCCCCCCACAGGCGGATCTTGGACAAAAAAACAGACGCAACAAATGCTCAAACATACTCAACAACTAGTCGGATAATCGTTCCCAGGCTATGTTTTGACTAGCTCAGAAAACTCACCCTGCAGAGGGACACGCCCGACTTAAACCTGGATCGGAGGAACCAGCCGGCCGCCAGAGCCCCTCTCGAGCCCACGGTGGTCCTCATGGCAGCGTCTTGACTGCACCCTCTCCACCTGCCTGGGATTATCTGGTTTCCATCCTATTTAAGGGCCAGCTCCCCAGGAACGAGTATCGCCTCCCAGGGCCCGACGCGTAAAAACCTTCCAATTTCGGTACTTTCCTAGTGCTCGAAATTTCTCGTGGTCAAAGCTGAAGTAGGTTGGAACATTATAACACTTGCCTGGGAATGGAGTGGGGACTGAAAAGGGCTGGGGGGGCGTACACATTTGGGCCCCAGAATGCGCATCTCGTCCCTGGTCTCGTTCGCGCGGAACTCCTCGGAGATGCGGTGGTTTTCGAAGCGTGCGTCGATCTCCGCGAGGCGCGCTTCATGGTGCGCCTCCTTGTCCGCAAAATACGCTTTCGAATCCTCCTCTCTGCGACTCAGGCCAGAGATCTGTTCCTTGCTGCTGTTGTACAAGCCCTTCAACATCTCCAGCGTCGCAACAAGTTCAGCCGGAGGATCCTTGAGCTGAAGCAGCTGTGCCCTTGTGGAGTTCCATTCGCTCTCCGTCAGTGCAAACGGGCTGGGAGCTACAGCCGTCGTGCCCAGGCGGGCTTTGACCTTGTCCAGCGCCTCTTGTATAAACATGGGTGCAGCAGCGCTCTGCAGGACAGCCGAATCCACAGGGATGCTGATACAGTAGGGGCCTGACCGGGGCCTGACCACAAGAAACCTTCCACAAGAAACCCAACCCTGAGACCCCAGGGCGTCCACTGATTCTTGGTGTGGGAACGTCACGCCTTCCACAGCAAAACCATCGAAAACCAAAAAAACAGGGCACCCTGGAAGCAAGCAGGGTGTTTCTTTGAATTGGCCCCCGTCCCCGCCTCCTGGGCTGGAAGCCCGCACATGGCCTGGTGGCCACTGTCCGGTGAGTGAACGGCTATTCGGGGCGAGCGGAGTGCAACCCAAGCGCACAAGGGCCTTCGAGAAGTCCCACGACCGTCTGGTGGCAGACCGTCTGGCGAGGTCCTCGGCATCTCGAGGTCGCGGGGCTGTCTGCCACCGCATGGTTTTTGGACCTCTGACCGGTGGGAGTGGGAATGAGGGGGGGGGAGGGCCAGCGGAGGACGCCGCATCGAGCTCCTACAGCAGGAGTTCGAGGACAAGAGCCCTCCCACGAGAAGCCCAACCCTGAGATCCCAGGACGTCCATGTATTGTTGCTGTGGGAACGTCAAGCTCTCCACAGCAAAACCACCGAAGCCCAAGAGACCCAGAGCACTCTGGAGGCAAGCAGGGTGCTTCTTGGCATGGGTTTCCACTGCATCCTTGTGGCTTTGGCTGCGCCTTCTGGGCTGGTAGCTCGAGAATACCCCCAGACACGTGCTCGATGCCCCGCCTGATCTCGGCATCGGTCGCGTTGCCAGAGACGATCGTCTCGTAGACGCCGATCATGTCCTTCAGCTTCTGCATCATGCCATGCTTGATCTTGAGAAAGGTCAGAAACTGGTGGTGCTCGCGCTCGCGGACCCGCTGCCAGTAGCCCCACATGCGAGTCTCGTCCTTCGTCTCGTTCGCATGGAAGCCCTCAGAAACGCGGCTGGCATGAGCGTCAATCTCGGCCAACCGCCTCGTGTGCTCGCTGCCCTTCTCCGCGAAGAACTGCTTCGATTTCTGCTCCCGAACGCCGATGGCGGCAATCTCCTGTCGTGGGCGCACATGGATTAGCGATCCATGGATTTGGCGCGCGGTCGCCAAATCCACGGATCGGGGGAAGCGCTCTCCCTAAAGCGCGGCCGTTGTCGCCTCGCTCGGCGGCGGAAATCCGCGATCTCCCATGGAAACAGGACTCGTTGCTGATCTACGCCCCCTTGACTTCTGTTGCTCCCATCGTACTTACAAACCACACCCGGAAAAGTGTCGAAAGAGTGTCGAAAGAGTGTCGGACGAGTGCCCCCCAGGGCCCGACACGTGAACACCCTCGAGTTTCGGTATTTTTTTGCTGGTGTTCGAAAGCCTTTCTGGTGGTCAAGGCTAAAGTCGGTTGGAACATCATGACCCTTCATCCATCATCCATGTTTGCGACCGCCTGATCCTGGAGCATCGCTTCACCGATCCCCATTCGGGCGTTGGCAGAACTGGGTTTAGTGGGACCTGGTTTAGTAACGTATGCTGGAGGACGCCCCCCGCCGCCCGTTCCACTAACCAGAACTGCCGTCACCCGAAAAGAACACCAACTACGGCGGACCTGGTTTGGTGATTCTGGCAAATTTAGTGGCTCCAGGGGCCTACCACTGACCGGGTCCCCTTGCCTGGGGTCCTGGCTATACCCGACCCATGCCACCCCATCCCCCACCGGCCTGGCCTGGGACCCGCTGGCCGATCTGCAGGCTGCAATTATTAACCTTCGAAGTTCGACGGGCCCCCCCCCAGCATGGATCGGTCTGGGGATTCGGATAGTGGTAAGTCGGGCCTGTCCCTCTACAGAGGAATATTCAACAATGGTAAAAAAATAGTCGGTGGACTATTTGTTGAGTATTTTGGGGCAGTTTTGAATATTTTAAAATAATACTAATTGATCGTCCAAACTCCGCCTGTAGGAGGACACGCCCGACCTAAGGATAATGGCGGCACGCGTAGGGGGGGGGCGCGAGGGGGGGTGGCTTTCCAAGTGCAGGCGGGGGGGGCTTCTTTCGGGCGCGGCGTGACCGGCCCCTAGCAAACCGTCCCCTTCCGTGACGCCATCCTCGCCTCTCGGGCTTCCCCCCGGCCGCATACGCACGTCTTGGGGCGAGGCGACAGGGACGCCACAGAAGGGGATGGTTTGCTAGGGGTCGGTAGGCCGCCCCTGATTCTTAGAAGGCAGGGGCCTTCCTACAAGGGCCTGGAAGCTCTCAAGAAGGCTTCCTGGAAGCCGGGAGGGCCTCTAAGAAGGCCCCATGCCTTCTAAGCAGCACCCCCACCGCCGTCGCACCACCCCCCTGTGCGCGCTGCCGAGGCCAGGGATTAGTCAAATGATAATGACGTTTATCTGGCGTTACGACATTGAGCGGAAGGGGGGGAGAGGGTGGGGTCTGGCTCTGGACTCCTGCTTAATGCGACTGTTTGAAGTAGTGCGTCCTACGGGGGAGAGACTCCACATGCCTGAAAGAGGCGCCACAACAGCCAAGATCTACTCCAGGGGGGAAGGGAAGAGGGGGTGCGAGGGCCCGCGCCGATCGGCACAACAATGGATAAGAAACCGATCACATACCGACTCCTGCTTGCTGCTGTCGTAGAGCCCGCGCAGGAGCTGCAGCATCGGAGCGATCTCCGCGGGCAGCGGGAAGCGAGCGCCGGCGACGTCCTGCAGCTGCAGGATCGAGACCCGAGTGGCGTTCCACTCTGCCTGTGGAGGAAGAAGAGCGGCATAAACTGCGGGCAAGATTTATGTCCATATCCCCTTCCCCAGACACCAGAGGCACAGTGGAAATGGATCACAATATGGCCCCTCAGAGGCCAGATTCTGTATCCATATCTAGCGCGCATGGGGTATTCTGCGCCCCTTTTCCAGAAAGTCCAAGCCGCAGGGAATGATATGAGTTTTGCCCGCGTTCACACAGGTCGGGCATGTCCTCCTACAGGCGGATGTTGGAAGTCAACTGAAAAATAGTCAAACAATGCTTGAAAATCGCCCCCGGACTATTGTTCAACGATTTCTGACTATTCCTCCCTGTAGAGGGACATGCCCGACTTCAGCGCACACACAAACCATCGGAGCCCCGCGCGGATCTCACGGATCAGCGCAGAGCCCCCTTCCCTGGAGCGCCGAGCGCGCCAAGGGCAGTGCCCAAGCGCAGCGCCGGAGGAGCGCCGCCAGGGGGGGGGGCCTGGCGCAGATCCCAGAAATCTGCGCGGGGCTCCGAGAAACAGAAGGGTATGCGATCGTTTGGAAAATTCGCGATAGTGGAGGCCAGTCCACATGAGACCTTCCACAGGAAACCCAACCCTGAGACCTCAGGATGTCCACTGGTTTTTGGTGTGGAACGAAGAACATTGAAAATCAAGAAACACAGAGCAGTCCGGAGGCAAGCAGGGTGTTTCTTGGTATGGGCCCCCACTATAACGCCACAACCAGCCCCGCCCCCCCACCCCCCCCTCTCCCCCTGGTCACGTCACGGCTCCTGCCGGCGCCGTGTGGGAAGTGGCCATTCCTGATCACTCCCAGCCCAGACGGCTTCGGCGCGAATCGTGACGCGACTGGCCCTCATGGTCCCCTCCCCCCCCGCACTCCGGTTCTCGCCAGGAAGAAAAAAGAACAGATTCTGCGCAAGCGTTTCTTCGGACAACTAGCGCTTGCCGTCTCCCGGCCCGCCCGAGCGCGCGTGTGGACTGCCTCTGCTGCGCTGGTGAGCGTTTTCTCATGCGGCGTTTCGACACTTGGAAGGGGGGGGGAGGGGGGGGGCTCTGGCTCCAGACCTCTGCTTAGTGCGACTGTTTGCAACCGTGCGTCCTGTGGAGGAGGCCCCACCTGCTCGAAACAGGCGCCCATAACAACCAGGATCTACTCCATGTGGGGGGGAGGGGAGGGGGGGTGCGAGGGCCCGCGCCGATCGGCAAAACAACGAAAAAGAAAACCATCACCAGCGACGTAAAAAAGTGCAGTTGTTTCTTCTTCGAGCCTCGGTCACGGCGTGCTGGCTCATCCCCGCCGCCCCCGACTGGGCCGCCACCGAAACGGCGGCCGCGCCCAGCTCGGCGCGCGCCCGCACCTGCAGCAGCTGGACGCCCGGGGACTCGTCCTGCAGGCCCTCAAGGAGAGCCGCCCGGAGGTCCCCCTCGCCCAGCGGGCACGAGAGGCCCTGCTCCGCCTCCTGGGGGGTCACGATGGGGGGGGGGACTCACTCAGTGGAGGCACGCCAAGCTGGAATGGGAGATATAGATATATGACATTATCTATAACATATGTGTATACGTCAGGTTCGTGTCGTGCCGACTTCGGCGTTGGGTTCTGACACCATGGGGATCGTTCAACCTTGAAGAACGGTCGGCCGTTTCCGAAACGTCCAAATCGTTCCACACCGAACGATTCTGGGTCGCCCGCGGCGTTCAACAATGAACGCCGCTGGCGGGGTCGCTGCGGGTCGACAAAACACGAACTTACCGTATATAACCGATGTATCGGCGAGACAGGCCCCCGATAGCGAATCCGCACGCTTCTGGGCAGGGTGGGGTTATCAGACCCCTATCGTCGATCACGTGGGCGATTTGGGGTCGATGTACTTCCCCCATGCGCCTACCCCCCCCCCTGTCGTTGCCCCTGGGCCTCCGAGGGCGCGCACCCACCGGCGTCTCGCGTGCCTGAAGAGGAGCAAAGAAGGGCGACATACGTAATCTTTCGGAGGTCCGAGCGGATTTGCTCGATCGGCGCACTCCGCGCACTGGGGATGGGAGGCGCAGTGCCGATCCACGAAATCAGCGCGGGCCTCTGAAAGTTACTGCTTTTTCCTTTGTGCTCGTGTTCGAGCGCCAGCGCCGTGGCCGAAGAGAAGGAGGGCGAGTGCGGCGAGGAAGCGCACCGTCGAAGCCATGATGCTGAGGCCCCGCTACGTTCACTTGATAATAGATCGTAGACCGTGCTCTGGGTCGTTGGTGGCTTCGGCTCCGGCCGAGATGGCTGCATATCGGACGCTGGGGGGGGGAAAAATTGCTACATATTATCATGTTTTTGAAAGAACAACCGAACGAAGAACTGTCCCGGTCCCCAACCAGACCTCCAGCCAAGTGTCTCAACAAATCCCCCGAACCAACCCTGGCGAAAACAATTCTTTCCACGATATGCAGGAAGTGGCCCAACCCGGAAATCGATTCGTGTCGCGCGTGCGAGTGGGGCGAAGCAGCACGACAGCGATGACACGCGCGCCCCAAAATTCTAGCGCAAGTAAGGGGAACGTGGCAACACACTGGGCTCGATCGTCTGACAAGCCAAGGAGGCCCGAAACAAATCAGTAACCGTGAATGAGGGGCAACCATGGCGGGGACCAGCTCAAGAAGGGACACATCGAGCTGGAACTAGGCGATACATCGCCGATAGATTGGCCACCCGACAGCGAATCCGCACGTTACTGGGCGGGGCCCCCATCAGGCCCCTATCGGCGATGAATGGGCGATTGGGGGTCGATGTAGCCTCCCCTGGCCCCCCATCCCCCCCCTGTTGATGCCCCCGGGTGGGGTGGCGTTGTGGACGTCATTAACAGTTCTATCATGTAATGACAGATGTAATTAAGCTGTCTTCTACAAGTTTTGAACATGTTCGGAACATGCATAGAACACGTTCGAACCGTGCAAAAGCATATGTCAAACGCGTCTCAGACATCGGAAAACCATTCGGCAGTCTGCCTCCTCTCCATCGATCGTCTTCCTCCAAAGGGCGGCGGATTCCGAGAATAGAGATAAATTCGCCGGCCCAACGGGCCAGAGGCGTGCTAAGATCTCCGGTAACTGGTTAACAATTGTATTTAATCGCTTCGCTCATTCCGCCGGCCCATATTGTCGCACCGTTGTGGGCTAGCCGAGTTTTGGGGCCTGTTGAGGGCCGTTTTGGGGCCTCTTGGGGCCTCTTTTGGGCCTCTTGGGCGCCTCTTGGGGCGTCTTGGGGGCCTCTTGGGGGCCTCTTGGGGCCTTTTTGGGGCCTCCTGGGCGCCTTCTGGGGCGGAGGGCTCGATTTTTCAGTTCTCGGTTCCCCTCTTGAGCCCCTCTTGGGCCCGTCTTGGGGCCTCTTGGTCCGTCTTGGGCGGCACTTGGGCCGTCTTGGGGGCCCTCTTGGGCCGTTTCGGGGCCGTCTTGGGAGCTTCGTGGGCCGTCTTGGAGCGATCTTGGGCGCCTCTTGGGTCGTCTTGGAGCGTCCGGAAGCCGAAAAAGCCAGAACGCAAAAAACATCGGAAAAACCAATGAAGATCAACGATTTTGGCCCCTTGGTCTCCGGTAACTGGTTAACAATTGTATTGTACTAGTTCGCGCGCGCGGGGCGGCCCCTGGGGGTCCCCCGGCGAAAAGTACCCCGCCCGCCGCCTGGGAAGGTCCCGCCCGGTTCAACTCAGAGATGGTTTTCCTTCTGGGTGCGGCCTCTCAGGCCGCCCTGAGCGCGCCAAGAGTGCCCCAAGAGGCCCCCAAGACTGCCCAAGAGGCCCCCGAGACGCCCAAAGAGCGCTCGAAGACGCCGAAGATGACCCCAAGACGGCCCAAAAGGCCCCCAAGACAGCCCAAGAGGCCTCCAAGACGCCCCAAGAGCCTTCCAAGAGGCCTCCGAAGAGAGCCCCAAGAGGCCAAAATCGTTGATTTTCATTTACGGGCGCAGCCCGTAATTTGATTCTCGCGAGGTAGACACTGACAGACTGAACTGAACCACCAGGCCGTCAGATGGCAGTTTTATTTCCGCGGGTGAGGATATTTCGGGTGGCAGTTTTAAGCCAGCTGGTGAGCATATTTCGGTGGCAGTTTTAAGCCAGCGGGTGAGGATATTTCGGTGGCAGTTTTAAGCGCCAGCGGGTGAGGATGTTTCGGTGGCAGTTTTAAGCCAGCGGGTGAGGATATCTCGGGTGAGGATATTTCGGTGGCAGTTTTACGCCAGCGGGTGAGGATATCTCGGGTGGCAGGTTTAAGCCAGCGGGTGAGGATATCTCGGGTGGCAGTTTTAAGCCAGCGGGTGAGGATATCTCGGGTGGCAGTTTTAAGCCAGCGGGTGAGGATATTTCGGTGGAAGTTTTAAGCCAGCGGGTGAGGATATCTCGGGTGAGGATATTTTGGTGGCAGTTTTAAGCCAACGGGTGAGGATATTTCGGGTGGCAGTTTTAAGCCAGCGGGTGAGGATATTTCGCGTGGCAGTTTTAAGCCAGCGGGTGAGAGGATATTTCGGGTGGCAGTTTTAAGCGCCAGCGGGTGAGGATGTTTCGGTGGCAGTTTTAAGCCAGCGGGTGAGCATATCTCGGGTGAGGATATTTCGGTGGCAGTTTTACGCCAGCGGGTGAGGATATTTCGCGTGGCAGTTTTACGCCAGCGGGTGAGGATATCTCGCGTGGCAGTTTTAAGCAAGCGGGTGAAGATATTTCGGATGAGGATATTTCGGGTGGCAGTTTTATGCCAGCGGGTGAGGATATCTCGGGTGGCAGGTTTTAAGCCAGCGGGTGAGGATATCTCGGGTGGCAGTTTTAAGCCAGCGGGTGAGGATATCTTGGGTGGCAGGTTTTAAGCCAGCGGGTGAGGATATCTCGGTGGAAGTTTTAAGCCAGCGGGTGAGGATATCTCGGGTGAGGATATTTTGGTGGCAGTTTTAAGCCAACGGGTGAGGATATTTCGGGTGGCAGTTTTAAGCCAGCGGGTGAGGATATTTCGCGTGGCAGTTTTAAGCCAGCGGGTGAGGATATCTCGGGTGGCAGTTTTAAGCCAGCGGGTGAGGATATTTCGGTGGCAGTTTTAAGCCAGCGGGTGAGGATATTTCGGTGGCAGTTTTAAGCCAGCGGGTGAGGATATCTCGGGTGGCAGTTTTAGGCCAGCGGGTGAGTATATCTCGGGTGAGGATATTTCGGTGGCAGTTTTAAGCCAGCGGGTGAGGATATTTCGGGTGGCAGTTTTAAGCCACGATGCACAAGTCCCAGGGCATGACAATTCCTTGTGTTGCTGCAAACTTGGGCGACACGGAAATGCATCTGGGCGGTACGTTTACCGTCTTGTCTCGGGTGCCTGCCTTGACTGGTCTTGCTTTGGAACGTGGCTTGAATTTCGACCGGTTGGCCAAGATCAACCAGAGCCGGTCTTTGTTGGCACGGAAAGAATACGAAGCTGCGAAATGGCCACCGCTCGAAGCCAATGCGCTTCGACATTTTCAGTCGGTCCTTGCAGAGCTGTTGCTGAAACGGGGGTCTCCCGAAGCAGCTGTGCTGGACACGATCGGCGGCTTGGCCGAAACAGCAGCTGAGCAATTGTCACTGCCTGACTTCACTGCGGAACTGTGAGCACTTTCTAGGGTGGAAACGCTGCGCAATCATCGTGGCGGCGACGGCCGGTGCCATTTCTACCATAATTTCTACCGGGAGAGTGCGGAAGGGCTCTCGCACGGGGGCGGCTTGTGCAGTTTGAGCAGAGATGGCACCCACGACGAAGAGGAGGGGGCAGGAGCAGGAGGAGGAGGAGGAGGAGGAGCAGGATGATGATGATGATGATGATGATGATGATGATGATGATGATGATGATCATGATGATCATGATGATCATGGTGCTGATGCTGAGGAGGACGATGATGATGATGATGATGATGATGATGATGATGAGATGAGGATGAGGATGAGGATGAGGATGAGGATGATGATGATGACGATGAGGATTATGACGGCGGGGATGAGGCGATGGAAGGAGGACGAGGGAGGAGGAGGGGTGGAAGGAGGGCACGGAGATCGTGGAAAGGGTGCTCGCAAGGAGAGTGGCAAGGGGAAGAGGAAGGCGCTGGACGAGGAGGCCGACGAGGAGGAAGGAGGCGGAGGACAAGGCAAGAGGCGGCGGGAGGAGGATTTCATTGAAAATGGACGACGGGGGGGGGAGATCAGCTCGAGGGCGGAGGACGCGGACGGGATGAGGAGGCGGCAGAAGGGAGGAGGAGGTGGAAGTGGAGGAGTCGTAGGAGGAGGAGGAGGAGGTGGAAGAGGAGGAGGAGGAGGAGAGGAGGGAGGAACCGAGAAGAGCTCTGTGCTCGGCGCGGGCATCCAGCCGCCACGCGATGCATCATCTGCATGGTCGGCCCAGCCGACGGCTACGCCTCCAGCGAGGTGCTGCGCCCGTATATATGCTCGCCCCTTGGCGTGGGGCTGGCGGGGGGCCAAGGGGCGAGCTGTCCGGTGATTTGTTTTTTCGATGTTTTTTGTGTTCTGGCTTTTTCGGCTTCCGGACGCTCCAAGACGGCCCAAGAGGCCCCCAAGACCGCTCCAAGACGGCCCACGAGGCTCCCAAGACGGCCCCGGAACGGCCCAGGAGGGCCCCCAAGACGGCCCAAGTGCCGCCCAAGACGGACCAAGGGGCCCCAAGACGGGCCCAAGAGGGGCTCAAGAGGGGAACCGAGAACTGAAAAATCGAGCCCTCCGCCCCAGAAGGCGCCCAGGAGGCCCCAAAAAGGCCCCAAGAGGCCCCCAAGAGGCCCCCAAGACGCCCCAAGAGGCGCCCAAGAGGCCCAAAAGAGGCCCCAAGAGGCCCAAAACGGCCCCCAAGAGGCCCCAAAACTCGGCTAGCCCACAACGGTGCGACAATATGGGCCGGCGGAATGAGCGAAGCGATTAATTATCCCGGCAAAGCAACCTAACAGCGATGTGTAGAAGCATATCTGAAAGCATTCCCCTTAAGATTCAGACGAAAATCCAGTTGTCGAATTCTGCTGTTCTCGCAGTCGTAGTAGCATTCGCGATGACAGTCGCAGCGGCAACGGCAGTCGCAGTCACAGCCTCAGCCTCAGCCTGCCTCCTCCTCCTCCTGCTCTTTCTCCTGCTCCTCCTCCTCCTCCTCCTCCTCCTCCTCCTCCTCCTCCTCCTCCTCTTCCTCCTGCTCGTCC